GGAATACAGCTCTAGTTTGGTTATCTTCAGGTAGAATATGTTAATCAATGAGTATAATGTGATCCTAGTAGCCATTGAAATTGTGATCAAATTTAGGAAGTGATATGTGCATCATATATGGTGTCACAGAATAACTATTTCTGATTTTCAGAAATGACAGAGGGCACTTAATTAATTTATGTGTCAACCAACCTAAGAACATTTTTTTTTGTTGTTAAATAAATATGTTCAATTTCCACTTTACACGTCGCAAATTAATCTGTAAGATACATTAATGTTTGATTGAAAATTTTACAAATATTGAATTTGCAGACATGCATATGGTAATTCTTACTAGATAAGGCAAATTTATTTGGAACAGCATCCTCAGCCTCACATTCCCTGATACATCATTTTCATGGTTGGATAAGCATATTCGGGTACTGGTGAAGTTGGAGTAAACAGATGGAGGAGCCATTTGTACTATCCAAAATGTTGCCTTTGAGGACAAAGTTTTAAAACACTTTGAAGATAACTCAAATACAAGCACTCTTGCCATTTCCCATGTGATGAATACAAGCCACATATACATATGAAGGGTATTAACAGAACACCAGCAACATCTGTTTCACATTCAAAAAGTTCAATCATTAATTCCAACTGATTATCCCAGTGAAGAAAGCCCTTACAGCCATTGACAAGTTACATAATCACTGGAAATTTTCTGTTAATATTTGGGCCTGATGACTTTTTTGAAACATACTCTACCACTTAATATGCAAGCAAACATTATTTTCCATGATGATTGTGCACCAACACACTGGATTAAGTTACCAAAATTATCCAAATACACAATATCCAAATGGATTGATTGGAAGAGGTGAGCTGATTTTGTGACCTGCATATTTTGTATTCATTATCATTTACAAGATCATTCAAAGAAGAGTTAGTGACTCCAATTGTACTGGTCTTGATGTATTCATGATCTTCTGCAATTATTTTGAAGATTTTGGCAGGCAATTAAACATTGTTATAACTTTTATATCAATTGTGGTTACAATTTCCAACAATTTATATAAAGTTTAAAGCAGTTATACTTTAAATGTTCTTGAACATTACTAAAATCTAGCATTTCTTGAGTTATTTTACTTTTATTGTAACTGAAATTTCTTCTCATATATCTAGTTAAATTAGTTTATTAATAAAACATGTTTTAATGTCCTCTTATCATTTCTGAAAATTAAATTCTGTGACACACTAGATTATATAGGAATGCTGATGTTTTTTGAGATTGGTATATTACAGGTAAATAAAGCAAAAAAACAAAATGAAACAAACTGTATCAATACATTACCCAAGTTTATCATTAATGAATTGGAGCTTTTGATATTCTTTGGGACAGAAATATTTGATTTACCTGTGGATTTATACAGACATCCTGTGGCAGTAGCAGCGACCACTGTATTTAGATCATCATCAGTCCCTCTGACCCAAGATAAGATAACTCCAAAAGCTGAGTATATTACAGCTACTGAACCAAATGTGTTAGCTGTAGCACTGCCTTTCTTCATAATATGATTTAACAACCTAAAAAAGATTGAGTTTCACCTTGATCTACAATTTGCACTTAAAAAAATGAACATTGGAAAAAAATAACAGAATACATTCATAAGCTCCAGCTAGGGCCAATGCACTATGAACCAGTTGAGACCCTCAAAGGCATTAACCTTATAAAATTAGCTCTTTTATTGAATGTTAAATTACTTACTGTGTTCTTCTGAGTTTTCCTGTTTGTTCTGCAGCAGCTGTAGCTTTCAGTCCATTGTAAAATCCATTAACTCCTCCCATTGCTGCCCCTATCATGCATGATCCTCCGATTTGGCCAAAGGCTAACTCAAATCTGCCTCTTTGTTTACTACCACCATCCAGGAATATAAATTCTGGTTGATTTTGCGGTATATACCCCGGATCAAAGTTTAGATAGGGTGAAGAGAATGGCTTGAACTCTCCTCCTGGAATATTCCGAATTTATATAATCGCAGCTTTTAGGTTATATGCATTTTTGTGAGTTCATTAAAAGTTCTTACCAGACAGGCCAGATGTAGCGTTGTAATTTTGTGAATAGACGTCATTGCTATCGTTCAATGAGGACATCGTTCGAAAATTTGATGGAAATTCTTCCAAAAATTCTGTTTTTTTGGTGGTAGAAGTTTTTCACATTGACAGGAAACACGGACCAAAATTGAAAAGAACATAACATATCAACGGAACAAGAGATAGAGAATCATATGTATCACAGACTACAAGTGCTAGACATAGGATGGTTGTGTGAACCAGAGCGTGACTGAAAATAATAGAACATTACACGCCTTTTTTCCTCCTACACGATGATTCATTATACATCAAATCCAAGCGGATAGCCAAAATTTCCGTATTATGTACCGCGGTTTATAATATGGTTCAAGATGACACACGGGATGATGACGTCAGTTACTCGAATCGCTTGAACGCTTTGGTTTTAGCCGCGGTTTGTTGCAAGTTGTTTGTTTTAGAAAAGTGCGTATATAATTTCTGATTATTTTTATTATCACTTAATAATCGGTGCTTTTTCGTCTACAACGGGGTATGGAAAGTTGAAAAAAAGAAAACTTTCATAATATTAATGGGAGGAATGTTTTTGTTTCAGAAAAAATTTTTTATTGATGGAACCATGGCTTTTTAGCTATGATAACATTCAAGATTGGAAAACTGGCGCTTTGACGTACTATATGGCTCGGTCGTTACCCCGGGATAGACATACATTTTAGCAGTTGACCTTGTCACCTAGATTGCTGCATTGCCAGCTCATCGGACAATTTTGCTACATCTATTTTGCTAAAATGTTATATAAAAAAGGTTTGAATAAAACATTGAGGGATACCAACGGTGACATAAAATTTGTGGCGTAGCAATCTTTGCTAACAAGCGAAAAAAAGCTGTTATTTACATTTTGCGTCGCCTGGCGTCTATGCGGCGGAACGTTAGTGTCTCTGAATACTTTTATAAATGCCCAGTTTTATAGGCTTAAAATACTTTTTGAATACGGGACAATTGAAAAAAAAACAATTTTTTATTATATAAATATTTATATATATCAAGTATTTGATTTAAAATTACATGATCATTAATAGGAGAAGTACGATTTTCATTCTCTCTTCTATTTAGTAGGGGAATATGGTTTTTTAGTGACTGCATTCGCACTTGGGCGAGGAAAACCCTAGAAAACGTCAACCGTCACTGCTAAGATTAATTGTATCAGCTAAAGAAAAATCCGATCAACGTAAACATCGAGTCGCTTCGGGAGAAGACGCGCGGAGTGGGAGCTGGAAAGGGGCGTGGCTGTACTACCCGGCCGTACCGTATCGCCACAGCGAGGTACAGCACTCGCACGTTTCAGTCTCTCGGCAACCGTCGGCGCAGCAGAATGTCTACGCGTTCACAGCTCCGTACGGAGCTCTATTCGGTTTAGCTACCTTTTTTCAGTAGTGGTATTCACTATAGGGTTCTCGATTGTCTCTCTATGGTGCCTTGGTGTTTTGACGTGGGTGTCAAGTGTCTCCAAAGTGGAAATTAGGTCTACTTCTAACTCTAACTCGTCTGAAGGAAACTAGGTGAGCCTTGCATACTCATATACTTGTTTGTCATGGTTGACATCCTATGTTTTACTAAATAAATTCCTGACATTGCATACACTCAGAAATTAGTCATTTACTGAGGTATTTGGGAAAAACTAAAATTTGGCCAAATCGTTTTTATTTTGTCTGACTTGATTTTAAGAAATTTCAAAAAACTAATGCCACTATTTAGGCACTACATGATGGTGTTTTTAAAAAAGTGCTACGCTGTATCTAATAGCAGCTTTTTCTAGTACTTCAACGATGTATCACGTTACATTTTTTTTATTTATAAACAAAGGTGTTTTCTCAACTTCACCTGGCAACGCCGCAATCAAGGTGACAAAAATGATAATATCAACTTTCAAAACGTATGTCTATCCATGGGTAACCACGGTTGATTTAGAACGTCAATGCGACAGTTTTCCAATCTTGATATGCACATTTTTGCTACGGATAGTCTGGTAGAGTATATTTCAATAGTTGTCTTGCGTTGCCATTTCATCTTTACTCGGGCCACAATTTGTTTTCATGTAACCATTCAACATGTGAGTGTAGAGGTGGAAACGTCAATTAACTATGTATACTTGTCTCATCTAAAATATATAGAGGTGGTACTGACATTCCGCGCGTCTATGATTTTGTGTTACATGTGCTATCCTGTGATGTAATTGTCAAATTAACCTTAATTTATTTTGATGTTTTTAATGGTTTTTCTTAATTTTTGAAAATTTTCTTATAATTGAAGACAATTTAGACTGAAGTAGAAATGGATAACCTCAACTCATTGACAGGGGCTCAACGAGATGAGTTGATGGATCAAGTAAAGCAGCAAATAGCTGTTGCAAACGCCCAAGAATTACTGACGGTGAGTTGCTTAGCGGTATATAATCAGAACGACCTTTTGACTATGCTCTTTTTCCTAGAAAATGACTGAAAAATGTTTTAAGAAATGTGTAAATAAACCAGGAACGTCGTTAGATAGCTCAGAACAGGTGAGTTCAAATATTAAATAGCTTAAATATATCGAAATTGACGTTTATGGTTTCAGAAATGTGTAGCAATGTGTATGGACAGGTATATGGATTCCTGGAACATGATATCCAAGGCGTATGGCTTAAGAATCCAGAGAGAAAGGGGTCGTATGTAGTAATAAAGTGTTCAAAAAATAGCATTTCTTGTATAGACTTTTTTTAATTCTTGATCAGACAGGTTCTATTTTTGTCTGCTCTAGTACAATTATATTTGTTGAATAAATATGTTTTTTCATAACATACTTTATTTCATAAAAGGTTATAAAGAAACTTGGCTATTCATCATCCCTTACAACAGGTTCACCATCTAATTTCTTCAGATTGGGTAATCTTTTCAGAGCTTCATTCTGTATAAAGCTTCATCCATATTGTCTGCCAAAGGATTGCCTATGAATAGAATATCTTCCAACGCTGGCATGTCCTGGAACTTGATAAATTCTCCCCATTCTTTTATCATATTGTTGCCTATGTATAGAACCTTTAGCTTCTTCAAGACCTGACAACCTTTTACTTTTTCAATCAAATTATAGGAGATCCACAACTCCTCAAGGGTGTCAGCTACACCTTCAAGGCCTGAGAAAGATTTGATGTAGTTTCTTGCCAAGGAGAGGATTTTCAGATTCTTCAGAGCACTCAAACCAGCTATTTTTTCTATCATGTTTGTAGATAGACTGAGTTTCCTAACCTTTGTTAAGGCTGATAAAGAGTTATCCATTTTTTCTATAGGAGGCCATTGGAACTGAAATCCTACTTCTGTTGCTTCACTTATAGATTCCCCAGGATGCTTTTCTTCCCATCTTTTGATAGCATCTTTGATAGTTGTTGGTTTTGACATTTTTCTAGTATTTCATGTGAAAGATAATAACTTTGGCAGTATGTTATTGATCAAACAATGAATATAATAGACAAGTCATTATAGAGGTGAATTAAAAAATCATAAAACATCTCTAATTCTTCTTAACAGATCAGAGTATTCTTCATTGATAATGGATCAATATGGCAATATATTAAGAAAATGTATTGGGTAATGCTATAAAATAAGTTTGTTTCTATGGTAACCAAATTAGTTCGTGCGGCTTTTAGTAGAAAAATATAAATTTTTATTGAGAAACAATACGACACTATTTATTCGTCGAAGTAATTATCATCGCATTTAATGACCTTTTGCCAACATGGAACCGATTTTTGTATGCCGGTTGTAGAACTCCCTGGACTTGGAGTAAAAAAATTGGCGGACTGCATTTATTGCAGCATCTAGAATTGTGAACTGTTGGTGCCTTATACAGTTGTCAAGTGACAAAAAAAAGCTGGTAAGCTGCTCACAATACGAGTTAGCAGTGATGGTTGAACCCCTTCCAAAAACTCATAATGGACAATTCTAGTTGCTGTCCAGCAAACACGCAACAAAACCTTGTTTGGGTGCAAGGAGGCCTTGGGCGTGTGTGGTACCGAATCAGAAGGCGACAACCAATGATACGAACGCTTAGAATTCAAATACAAGATCCTTATTCTGTCCCAGGTTAATAACCAATTAAGAAATGGTTCATGAGCATTGAGTGAAATGTTTGCTGAACAAATGGTAAGACGACTTAATTTGTTATAATTTGTCAATTCATGTGGGGCCCATTTGCTTAACTTCCACGTCTTTCCTGGCTGATGAAGATACAAACGAATATTTTCAGGACTCACTCTGAACATTTCTGCAAGTTCTTGGCACGTTGTTCTGGAATTTGCGTCTACAACCTGTCGAAGATCCTTGTTATTAATTTTTGTTTCCCTGAGAGTGGTTCATCGCTCAAACTGAGATCTCCCGAAGAAAATTTTTGAACCACTTCTGTGCTGTTCCATCACTAACGGCATCATCTCCGAATGCGCTACATATTTTTCGCGCCGCTGCTACAGCTTTTGTACCAAGTTTGTACTCATACATTAAACGACTTCGAATTACAGTTTTATTCGTCGCCATTTGCAATTATTAAAACTAGGTATGTGACAATTTTCAGCAACTTTTTATGTGTGTGTGAGAAAAGAAGGATTCATACTAAAGTGACAACAGGTAACAAACAATCGCTATCGATCAACAACATCCATGGCAATGTGCGATATACAGCAACCGCACGAACTTATTTGGTTACTTGATAATTATATATTCGTATTAAAAATAAAGATGCGGGAAAGCTTGATGTTAACTAAATGAATATACGTTATAATGCACTCATAAATAAGAGAGGAAATTGTGCATTAAGAATGCAAAGTATCGGTTTGCCGCACGAGAAGTAAGTGTGAAGCAGGGAAACATTTTGAAAGCTGCACTAGTTTCTGCTTTAGCAATTTACCTCTTCCATTATTAAAGCTGTAAAATTGAAAAGAAGAAACGTCCTACCATTGGTTCTACTACAACCAATTTTTGTTGCTTTGCCGCTCTAGATTGGCAAACTGTGATTTGCGATTGCTCACTGGAAAACGTCAACTTCGCGCACCACTGAGACGGACTTCCTCGGTCGGTTGTAAATTTTTATTGTAATGAAGGAAATCGTATATTTTTTAAATACATTTAATTTGCCATATAAATGGAAGGCTTCATTGAAATCAGTGGTTCAATTATTTTTTTTTGTATAGGTATTGCATTTGCCATGTCTTTATTTGTTTCTCAGATATATTTGTTTAGTACCTATAGTTATGTTAGGTCTTTGCTTTTTCGTCACATTGGAAAGGGTCTCTCCTAAGTCGCATACGATATGGATTAAATAAAAAACATTGTACTGAGGAAGGTCACCATTGTGTCTGAAACATTTGCAATAAAGAAGATTTTTTCAACACACGTGGCTTGGATTGGTCAGAGAAATGAGGATCGTTATAATTCTGATTCCAAAAATGCATTTCATACATTGACATTGAGTTATTTCAAAGTAACTGAATTCTTAACATATCAGATACTTTGTTTCATATCATCAGTCAAGCATTCCTTTACTTTTTATGTACCAGGCATTGGTCAACAGTACTCTTACTCTTATTTTAAATGAGAGATTCTAGATATCATGGCATATCACTTCAAGTGACTAAAAAAGTAATCTCCCTATAGTTGTGCATTGAATTAAAGAACAACCTGATGCTAAAACTGTTAAGGTCGTAGTGTAAACAGTGAAATCAGTACTATTCCATATAACTGATAGAAAAATTTGGATCAAAGAAATGCCCCCCGACGATATAGCAGCTCCCTAAACACATTTTACATATATCCGTCATATCTAAACCGATGCACACATCATTCAATTCAAAAACTATTAATCTAAGGCTGACGTAAGCTAACTATGTAAATTTTTGATATTTGTTTTTTAAATACTCGTACGTGGATTTGATATTTTATCGTATGACATATGCATATTATAATTTTTGCAATCGGAATTAAAAAATTTATTCACCTGTGCAAAATCGACTATGGGGTCTATAAGATGATAAAATTAATGATTGAGGAGGACAGGACACAACACGCCACATTGAAATCCTAGATGTCATTGTTTATGGGAGAAAAAAGCATTCCCTTATGACAATGTTACATGTTTAAAATCCTTCAATCCTAATTTTTCTCTTATGCAGCCCGCGAGTTGCTTGAAGACGATGATGACGTGGGTGTGAGACACTCCCTAATCTCCCTTACGAGGGTCTATAACGTCATGCATCTTTTCAGTAGTAATGCAGCAAGAAGTGTCTGTCTTTATTCTTGTTCAAATAGAATTTCTTGGTCAGAGTCGATATCAGCATTGGTAGCTGCTTCCTGTAAGTAATGTTGTCTAACGAAAGTAATAGTTTCCGCAAACGCACTTGGTAGTTCTGGTGAATAAGCTGATTATATCTTCCTTTCTGCAGTACGCTGAAAAATTCCTACACATTTCCTGGGTGAACCAGGATCCCAGCACGGGATTGCGGTATGCTTGTGTACCTGGAAAATTGAAAAAAAAAACAATAATATCGTTTCTGTCTACATTGTATATATACATAAGTGGGATTCATTATGGTGAAGTTTAGCTAAAGATATTCATTCATCCGCTTAAGCATATAAATACGAAATAAAGATGGCAAAAGAAATATATATTATATATAACAACAAGTAGGAAAATAATGGTCAAAATCCGCAAAAAGGAGGAAAGTGGATTCGAGCAGAAAATAGGATAGGTAACCGGAGCGATACGTATTTCTGCTGGTTGGCTTCATCAGGCCCGAAATGAATGCACATATGAAACTACAAAAGTAGATACACATGCCCACACATCCGGATACGGGTGTAACCTGAGGAAACGAAGATGGAGAGGGAAAAAACGACACACATCCGGATACGGGTGCAACCTGAGGAAACGAAGTTATACTACAATGTGTAGGTTGACTCTTGTTGTGGACTTCGTGTGTCGTTTTTCCCTCTCCATCTTCGTTTCCTCAGGTTACACCCGTATCCGGATGTGTGGGCATGTGTATCTACTTTTGTAGTTTCATATGTGCATTCATTTCGGGCCTGATGAAGCCAACCAGCAGAAATATGTATCGCTCGGGTTACCTATCCTATTTTCTGCTCGAATCCACTTTCTTCTTTTGTGGATTTTGCCCATTATTTTTCTACTTTTTGTTATATACCTTTCTCCGCATGATCATTTTCTCTCTCTCTCTCTATATATATATTATGTGGTCTTTTCAC